TAGTTACATATATGAGCCAGTATAATCATGACGAAGCACAACATTTATTATTCATCGTAGCACAACTCTGTTTTCAATTTAGCTCAATGACATTAATTGCTGGTGAAAATTGGATAGACGATAGAGCCTTATAGCAGTCACTATAAATTGTTATTTCTAATGAAGTGAATAAGGTTACGTGAGTATAAATTGTTATAGTTAAATTGTTAGGGGGTAAGAGGATAGCGCAATCATCTTACGTATTGCTCTAATAGTTTTGATTATTTAGAATACGTCAGTATTCTAGTATTGTTTTGAATGAATTTAAAACAATTAAAGCTTGTCTATTTTTCAATCCAGTTAAAAAAGTATTGATGCAAATACTTTACTTATTTATTATTTTTATCAAACCCACTAATCTTATACTTGAAGGAAAATATAATAATATATAATTAGACACTTTCAGTTTTTAATGCAGTGCAAAAATAATATCACTTGCATCTAATTATATATTATTATATTTTCTTTGAAGTATTAAATTACTTTGTTTATTAGAAATAATAAATAAGTAAAGCACCTACATTAATACTTCTTAAACTGGATTTAGAAATAATTAAGCTATATTTGTTTTAAAAACTGTCAAAACTACATTTTTGTATTATTGTTTTCTTACCATATACATATATCTGGTTTTAGTTATCATTTATTTTACTCGAAGTAAATAATTTAGTATAGATTTCTGAATTGATCAAAGTAAATAATGTGCTCATATAATAAGTCAGAACGGTTTGATAAGTCAGTGACTTTTTGAATAAAACAAATTTTTTTCGGCAAATAAACATTTTATTTTTCTACATAATCACCTTTTAGCTCGATACATTTAGTCCAGCGTTTTTCTAATTTTCTTATTCCCTCCAAATAATAAGTTTTCTCAAAGCTCTCAAAATACGCATTTGTTTCGTCAATGACTTCTTCATTCGACTCAAATCTCTTACCACCCAGCCATTTCTTTACGTTTGAAAACTAGTCGAAAATAGTCGCAGGGGTCTAAATCGGGAGAATATGCTGGATGAGGTAGCTGTTCTTATCCCAATTCGTGGATTTTGGCCAGTAATGCTAATCAGCACACGAAATTTCCATTTTCGTAAAAATTCACGAGGTTGTCTGATATGAAAGGCTGTCAAGTACCAACTAAACGACGTAGCTAGCTCAAAATTAGAAAGTTGCCCATTGGTAGATTACAGCTGACGGCAGCACTATTGCATTTGGAGTAACTGCACGGGAAATTCAAAAAATCACTGACTTATCAAACCTCGCTCGTAGAAACACATATTAGTTCCTTACTGAAACATTAACTATTTGCATATTTATTGAGTGTTTTCATTTTAGATTAATCTTTCAATTAAGTTTTCTGAATATGTAGTTTATTTTTTTTATATTTGGAATGAATAAGAATCAGCAGTTTCTGGCTGCGTTCAAAAAGAATATTTCATCAGTTATGAAATGTTACTCATATGCCACGTATACATGATATATGAGTCTTATAATTGATAAAAATTATGTCTACATATGAGCAGTCACCATATTGAACTATACAACTGATATAATCATTCACGTATATTCGTGTCATTAAAGTAGTAATTATTGGTATTAATTTAAGTAATGACAACATTGCATAAAAATGATATTTTTATTTAATGTATTCATTTTTACTTATACAATATATATATATATATATATATATAAAACCACACAACGATAACTACAGTATAAAAATAATGACAACATATCCGAAAGAGTAAGTGGTAATTGGCTTGCAACTCGATTAATAATACAATTTTCATACTCAACTCAAAATTAACAGTGAATTTAAATTTCAACAACATTAAAAATGCTGTGACTTAATAGGGACAAGTCACAAAGGACAAACGTAATTATTTTTAAAATATATTCAAAGGACACATGAAGTTCACTGCTTGATTTAACAATTTTACATTTTTCATTTTCTCTGAACTGAAAATCGATTATCCCGTACTGTTGTGATATTTTATAAATGCTCTTTAAGTCACTTGTATTGTAATTGTATTTTATTTTTTAAAAAGTCCTTCGTCCCTTCCTGGTACACAACTTATCGCACGTAGAATTGACACAGCATAAAAGGATGATGAAAAGAAATTTATGTATAGAAATTTTTATTAATTACCATACATCGATATTTTTAATAAGTTTTTACAATAATTAACATATATAATATTATTGAATTAAATATTTTTTTCAACAGTGTATATTAATACTCTTTATTATTCACACAAAGATAATAATTTACAAAAGAAATTGTATATACAATAGTATCAAAATAATTAAATTTATAATTATTTAAATATATATATAATATGTACATAATCAAAGTGAATTAATATGATGAGGCATTAAAAGAAACTTTTCGGTAAAAGATGACAGAACCAAAGACCCATTCTTATAATCAAATGCAATACAAATCAACCTAAAGTTAGTAAGCTATATCTCACTACTATTGTAGAAATTATGAATATGTAAAGCAATATAGACACATCCTGCGTAATTTTTTCAAATTATGAAAGTATGTATATTATTATGTAGGTATATATATATTATGTAGTATCTAAGGTACTATTTCAAAAAGACATCTTGCATATCGTTAAACAATGAGAAGCTTTATAGTACGTCAGCACTTGCTAGGTTAGATTAGGTTGAGATAGCGTGTGTTGAGACAAATATCACTATTTTCACTAAGAGACATCCATCGCATATTGTGATGACTAAAGAACCAAGTTATACAACTGTTTTTATCTTCAAATAACATGCTTATTAAGTCATGTGCTCTTCCGGATAAAACTTAAGAAGACTAACAAATTCAATTTAGTTATCTCTAATAGGCAATGAAGAATATATGAGATTAAATTGAAATTCAATATTATTAGAAAACTTAATAAGAGATTAAAACCATTCTGTCTGATGTATTGCAAAAAAAAAAAGAATTACAAAAAATAAGTGATGAATTCTATTTTCTTTTCATTGTGGTAAGTTCCGCATAATCCATTTGATAGAATTCACTACCGTTCGGGTATCGAAACAATGGATCTGTGCCTAGATAAGCTCTTTTTAACTAACTGAAGGTTTGCAGAAGCTCAAAAGACTTTTTGTTTTATTTCTATCTAAAGAGACCAGCCCCTTTTCAGTTAGTTCATAAATCACTAATCACCGTAATGATGAGATTTATTGTGTTCCAGTATAGTTAACTCATCGGGGTTTTTATGAGTAATCGATTTTATTAATGCGCACATAAAACCTTTTCTGCATACTTTGGAATCTAGTAAAGAGAGACATTTTGATGTTTGATATTTATCAGTAAGGTTCAATGTTTCAACAAATCCACGATTTCACCGTTTTGGATTGGATAACCTTCACTATTGTTTATCCGCAAATACAGTGACATTCAAGAACGAATTTTGCTATTTTGTACTGTGACTGTGCTTTCTACTGAGCTGTGAGTATAAAGAAGTTGGTATAACTGTATTATTTGTAAATTTCTCCATTTGATACCCGTTAACTTTCCTATTATCTGTTACATCTTTTAGTCAACTGTGCAGATGGTAACTGTAGATGTTTGGAATTTTCTTTGGTTGGATAAGGATTACAATTAGTCTGTAGCTGTTCCTAGTTTAGATTTAGCTAAGTCACGATCACTCTCTTTAAGTACAATTCATCCATTAAAGTCATAGAACTATATTTAATTCTAAAGTTACTATGTACTTTACTCTCTATTACTAATAGTACTAACTTATATATATCTATGTACTTGATTTCATGAATAAGCATGCAAAGGAAAATTTATGTGGTCAGAAATAGGACATGGTCTTAAACTCTTTTTTTCAAAATATCACTATTTCAAGTATTCATTTCCTTTTGTAGCTGGTTAGAATTTAAGCATGTCTTTAATCGCTATTTTGAATAATTTTTTCTATTATTTTGCTCTATTAATAAATAAATAGATATTAATAAATAAATTTGTATATCGTAAAATCACTACGTTTGGATAGGTTGCACTGGCGATGCAAAGGGATCCATTAAGGCCTATAGACCCATTGTATTATGGGTCTATAAGCCTTAATGGCCTAAGGAAAAACCTAGAAGCTTAAAACTACCCTATATCTTTGGCAAAGCTTATAAAATCACTACACAAAACATTAAATAGACCAGTTTGTTTTTTTCTCTGATAAGACGCTTTGGCATTTGTTCTATAATTAACAAATCACAAAAATCCTAACTACAATTTTTTACTTTAAAATAAAACACAACAAAATCTGAGTATAATAAAAAAATATATTTTGCGATAGAATCAACAACAAAAGCATGGATGATTATTAACATCCAGTAAAATCATCATAACACAGAAAAATTTTTGATACCGAATTGAAAACATAAATTTTATTCTCCATTCATTTGTAAATCTTAAAAAAGATACATTTTGTAAACATCTACTTTTTTGTATTATATGTGCAAATGTAACTTACTTGGTTTCCAATTCGTATTCTCTATAAAGTTTTAATTTATGCACCAATTACTTATACCACATATGAAAAGCCTTTGTTGGAAATATTTTGGAAGAAATTATTATTAATGAGATATAATATAGAATTAGATGTCATTACCATTAAGATGTTGTGAGTTAAACCATAAATGCTCCAGAAAGTCGTATTATACACAACCTCACTTATACCAAGTATGATTAGTTGATGTTATCTTATAGCTCACAGTTTTAATAATCCCTGGTTCAAGCATAATAAACACGTCATCATGGGTTTCATAAACTCATTGAAGTTGAAGTTGACTTCAAGATAACGTGAAGAGTCTTATCAGTACCGTTGCTGAGGTGTCTATATAAGGTAATATTAGATATTATTTAACTAACATTTATTGAATAATTTTTATTAATAAGATATAATTTAAAATATGCTTTCATTACCTATAAGGTGTTTTGGTTGAAATCATGAATACTCCATAAAATCTTATTTCATGTACAACTGCACTTGTACTACATGGGATATTAGTCGCTGTTATGTTGTAGCTCACGGCTTTAATAGTCCCTGCTTCAAGTATAACAAGCACGGGGTTTCACGAACTCAAGTAATTAAATTCAAGATAACGTAAAGGATCTTAGCAGCAGGTTACACTTATATACGTATAAGTATAGTTTGTGAATTTGTTTTTTTTTTTTTTATTTCTGATGAACCTATATAAGGTAATGTTAGCTATTATTTAACACATATTTTTCAAGAAAATTTTATTAATAAAATATGAAGTAGTATTTGATATCATTACCAGTTAGGTGTTTTGGTTCAAGCCATGGCCTTTCCATATAGTCTCTTTTTAAACGCCAACTCGCTTATACCAGATAGGATTATTTTTTAGCTCACAGTTTTAATGGTCCCTGATTAGAGCACAACACTTACATCATACTCGATTCTAAAGCCTCATGTTAATTAACTTGAAAGTAATGTTAATCCCAGTAGCAGGTCACATTTATGTTTGAGTGAGTTTGGCTTTAGCACATGCACTTATTTCTGAGATATTTAAAAAAGGAAATATTAGCAATTATTGAATCTATATTTAATATGAGATTTTGTACAATTTTTTAACATTACCGTTATGTGCTGCCTCATTTATATAACCTATTTTTGCTAGTTCCTGGTTGAAGCATGACAAATTCATTGTTGTTGAATGAGGATCCAAAGTCAATTTTGTTGGTTAACTCTAAAATTATGTAAGTCTGAGTACTAGATATTTGTTAGTGCTTTCGGAAGTATTCGTTTTTTAGGGAACTTCCTTAAGTTCACCGATATTTCCAAAAAAAAAAAAAAAAATACTTATAATAGTACATAATGCCATTCATATATTTGAAATAACATATCTCTGTAATATAATAATATAACTCTGTAAATAATTTTATTAATTAAGAGAATGTATTGAATTTGCTGTCATTATTTAAATTTTTTTTTTCCCACATATCTTAAACTATGAATAATTAATACTTACATTATTCGCAAATTTTTAGTATAAATATGCTCGGGACATATTCTTCAATTACTGCTTCTGTGGTATAAGTTATGGCGCATTAGGTTACTCGATAGGGTGCTGAACTGTTTCCATATTACGTGCTTGGGAGACAATGTTGTGGGATAGTTCCTTACTAGACTTTTTAGCTACGAGCACGGTAAAAGTTTGACTTGATATTGACTTTGATGGCGGGTTAGTAATGGTCTCCACTTTGTTTTGATTAACATCAACTTTTAACGAATCGGGTAAAGCGTTAACATTCTTATTTGATTTCTTACCAACGAGGTCTGTAAGTGTTTCCTTCGATATTGAATTTGATGCCGAATTTTTATTAGTCTGCATCTCATCATCAAGTGTTAACGAATCGGATAAAGCGTTAATATTGTTTTTTGATTTCTTACCAACGAGCCCTGGAAGAGTGTCCTTCGATATTGGCTTTGATGCTGAGTTTTTGTTGGACTGCATTTTATGCTGCATCTCTTCATCAAGTATTAAGGAATCGGACAAAGTGTTAATATTATTTGATTTCTTACCCACGAACCCTGGAAGAATTTCCTTCGATATTGGCTTTGATGCTGATTTTTTGTTAGTTTGCATTTTATTCTGCATCTCTTCATCAAGTAGTAAGGAATCGGACAAAGTGTTAATATTATTTGATTTCTTACCCGCGAGTCCTGGAAGAATTTCCTTCGATATTGGCTTTGATGCTGATTTTTTGTTAGTTTGCATTTTATTCTGCATCTCTTCATCAAGTATTAAGGAATCGGATAAAGTGTTAACATTCTTTGATTTTTTACCCATGAGCCCTGGAAGAATTTCCCTCGATATTGGCTTTAATGCTGAATTTTTGTTGGTTTGCATTTTATGCTGCATCTCTTCATCAAGTATTAACGAATGGGGTAAAGTGTTAACATTATTTGATTTCTTACCCATGAGCCCTGTAAAAGTTTCTTTCGGTTTTGACTTTTTGTTGACCTGCATTTTCTTCTGCATCTCATCAACTTTTGGGGAATCGGTTAAAGTATCAACTGTCTTGCATGATTTCTTTGAGTCTGATGCTAAATCTTTTTCACTGTCCTTTTCACACTGATTACCACCAAGTCCTAAACAGGCATTACACTTCTTCACTGAATTATGATTTGAATTTCTGCCTTCATTCATTTCATAAAACTTCTTGAACCATATAAGTATTTCAAAATTTTTTTGAAATTTTCGTTGTAATAAATCGTTGATTGGAATATCTTTTGAAATGTTAACAGTTTTGAGTCCTTTTTGAAATAATTTCAAATTGCTTATATGATCTTTTTCATTTTCGGTGCAAAATTTAACTTTATTCATGTTAATAACTCCAGGAAAAATTTGATCAAACATTTGGCAATACAAATATCCCTTTGACATCTCTTCGACTTTGGAGATATGTGTTATAAGTGTCTCATTGACCCATCGAACCAACTCAAACCTAGAGTAGTTTTTGGAGTTATTAGAATTCCATACATTTACAGCTTTCAACATCTTTAAAAAGAATGTGGAACGTCAAAATTTGGAAAAGATAAATTTTTTCCAGAAGCAAATTTTGTTGTGTTCTATTCCCAAATATTTTTTGAAATGAATGTTACTGTAATTCAAATTATATTGAAATTTTATATGACATTAAATTTTTTCACAGATTACTATGTTCATATATATAATGCTGGTATAATTCAACAAAACACTTCATTAGAATAAACAAAAAGTATCGATACTAGAACTGTTCGCATTCGGGGTTTCGAGTATTGGGAGAATTCGATTAATGGGATAGCAACTAAGTCGTCGGAGTTGAAAAAGAAAGGATTTTTAGTAAATTTAGAGACTTTAAATATCCGGATTAGTCTTTATTTTAAAGACTAGTTAAAAGGAGAGCACATCATATTATTGAAGAATTATATATTCAATAATTATTTCAAATAGAAATTTTTTAAAAATTGCTCAACAATGCTGGGTTCATAAATTTAGTAGTCTGATTGCTATTACTCAAAAAGTATTATTAATTAATATTAATCTTATTCATTTGAAAACTTCAAGTTTCATTTAATCATTTAAGTTTGAAATATTTTTAAAACTTGAAACATCGCTCAATAGAATCAATAAATATTTGTTGAAAATAAAAAAATGCAATAATTTATTTATTAAAAATGGAAAACTGGACTGCATCCCTAAATTACTTATACATAAACCATAGGCAAAATAGAAATAAAAAGGACACGCCAATCAAGTCATAGCCAGTGAATTTTTTAATTCATTTATTAAAGCTAGCTTTTTACATTAGTGTTTATAACAGAACGCTGTTAACTGTGATATTACATGTAATGTGACTTTTTAATTTTTATTTTTTAAAATAGAAGACTATCAGTTAATTACTGCATTACTTACAAATAAATCATAAACAGAAAAAAGTTTTCACCAAGCTAGCCATGTTCATCGAATTTGCATATAAATGTTAATAACAGAACACTGTTAAGTTAGCTGTAGAAGTATTGAACGTTATTTGATCCTACATAAATTTACGACTTATAGTGCGAATATGAACCAGAATATTCACTGTCAAAAATTGAGAAAAGCAACGGATGTATCTAAAATTAATTAATTATTTTATAATTTATACAAATTTATGTAATTTTATAACTTTGCTTTTAATTTTACTTATTAACTTTGTAGTATTCGATCAGGACTTATAATTGGTTCATTCCGCTTTCTTAAACACACACTTTAAAATGCTATGACACTTTAAAAGAGTAACTGCCAAAAATTGATATTAAAAATATTACTGGAGAAAGATACTAATTTATATGGAATTATGGAAAATTAAAAACACCTTAAATTGAAAAGTGAACTGTGAGAATAATTGAAGGAGTGAATGCGCTTACATTATTACTTAAGCAACGGAAAAATGACGTTCCTTATACACTGGAATGTTGACTATGTGGTGAATGGCAAGTAGCTGGTCCTGTCTGTTATACGGCAGCTATAGAATATTTCATACGTTTTTCTAGAACAGACACAGTCACCGAATACGTTAAGTGCGATGGATGTGCCGTTTTTTTATTGTAAAATGACTGCGCGAAAATACTCGTATATATATTTTTGTTTATACATAAAAGTGGAATGCATTATTTTGCAATATTCGTGGTAACAGTTTCGCATATCATCAACTGTGGAAGGATAATCCAAATATTTCAGCAATTTATTTTAAAATTTTTACCTTTTCTGAACTGTAAAAATTGCACTTTACTGCATTTGTCGTGTTGCTGTGTAATATTTTTTAATTTTTTTTTTCAGTTGACGTTAATATGACGGGTTGGTTGGTTGCTTTTAGCTTTCAACAGTTGAAGAATTTTAAATTAAAATATTTGCATAGCGCATACCTGATCCAGTTAGTGAGGAAAGTTATTATTAAAATAGTATTTCAGAGAATGTGTGTGGCATGGGCTGAACAGAATTGAAATACATTTCTTGATATGATAATAATAAATCGAAAAGGATGAAATCTGCTTTTATATTTTAACAATGGTACGGCTACGTGTCCTGGGTAAGACCACAACAAGTTTGTTTTAAGTATTTTTCCCATCTTCATTTTATTGTATTTAACTCAAAATATGGCAACTCATTTAAAATGAGTTAAATTTGGCAGCATTTGTATTTTGACAGTTCATTGCTCAGAAATTAAAACTGAAGCTCTCATTTTAATTTTAGTAGTTTTGTGAAAAGTGATTTAGAAACGAAAAATATTTTTTAAAAATTTGTAAGAAAATAATATGTTATATATATATATTAGTTCAATGAATAAATTCATTTTAACCTCTTTTTTTTATTTTTTAAGTACCTGTGGTTCAATAATCCAAGTATCTCCTTATTATACTTCCTATTAGGCGCGAGCTTCATCAGGAAACGGTTATGCGGAGCTGGGCAGATACATTTGAAGACTTTCATTTCATAAAGCTGTCGAGCACAAATAGCATTATTTAATTGATATATTTATAACGTTACGCATAACTTATTTCTACAGTAATTTAATCGCTATTGTTGTATACTGACCACTTGGACAGACGCATACCCACACCTTTGACAGCTCTCTATCATCCAAAGAGGGAAGGTGGTTATTATCACATGAAAAAAATAATAATAAAAATTGATTAATTTAATTAATGAAATAAAATTGTTTGAATTACAATATTGAAAAATTACACAATTTTACAAACTTATTAGACTTATACTCAATAATATATTTTATTATGATATATGGCGAAATATTATTTTTTCTTTTTTTAAGAATATGTTTTTTTTTTCAAATGTGGCGCGAAAGACCTAAAGAAACTAGCAGTGTTCAAACAGTTATAAAGAAACAACAACAAAAATGAAATAAGTAATGTAGAAGCAACAACAAAAATTTTATTAATTTATTAAAAATTAATAAATTTTTAGTTGATTAATTAATTCAAAATTAATCAAATTTTTGTTGTTGCTACTACATTACTTATTTCATTTTTGTTGTTGTTTCTTTATTACTGTTTGAACCGTTCTATTATTTTATCCCTTTTGTCCTTATTCCACAATGTTATTTATTAATTGTTTAAAACTATCAGTTAAAGCTTTTAAGAAAGCATATTAACTAATACATAGTCTAAGTCAAACAGGGTCAAATAGTAACTAATGAATTCAATATATGCTATAAGTGCAATTGATATATATGTTCTATTAAGAAAAATAAATAATAAATACTGAACAAACTTCAATCGCCGTTCTATGGAGGATAATTACTTAATTATAGTAATTTATCAGATATATACCAACCGTCGTAATGTAGGAATTCAACCTTAAGAAAACGTATGCTATTTCATCAATTAGTAAGTGAAGCATTTTCCTCCATCTCTTAACCCATCTCTACTTATATGACTGAAAATTTTTCCACTTATATCTTAATTTTAATGAAGAAAAATGCAAGTCTTCCTGGTTATATATTATAGCACATAAGGAGTACTACCTTCATTTATTTACTCATAACTAAAACATTTCAACTTGCAATATTTTGCATTGCAAATTTGGTTTATTTCTTTGTGGTAGGAATGGTGTAGAATTTGTGCAACATTATGTATTTCACTTTATTTCTCAAAAATAGAAAATTATTTGCAATTTTGGAACCAAAACGCAAAGCACTAAAGTTTGGTTTTTCCATTTTAGGGTGCAGTAATTCATATATATAATATTTGCTTACCGTCCTCATTTACTTAAGTAAAAATAATTCCCTCCATTTTCGGTTTCGTTAAACTCTTTTCATTTTATTTCGTTGAACTGCATAAAGTATATAAATCAAATTTAGTGGAAATTATTAACAGTAGGGAGTAAATTTACCTTTTATCATATATTAAACCTCATTTCATTTTGAGATATTATTTTTGCAACATGGAATGACAAAAAATATACAGTAAATATGCAGTAGAATTGATTTAACAGCACCAACCGAGGGTACAAACTCAAGGGTCTCAACATTCATCTTACTTAATGGGTTTAAATAATATTAACCTGCAGTTTCGATTAGATGTATTCGCTCTAAAATCGTGGCGTTTTATATGATTTGAATTAAATTGAAGTAATTTCTAGATTGCTGTTCAATGGCGTAGAAGATGGTGCGTTGGAAATTGATGAGAAGATGTGTTTATTAAATTAAAATGATTTATTTTTAACAGAAGCATATTACATGATATAAAGTTCCATATATTGGGATGCTTCTGGCAGGTCTTAAAAGAAAATTTTGGGACTCAATTAGGCCTAGGTTCATAGTGTCACCTTTCATCATCTTATTTAATCCCGATAAATCCTGATAGTTTCAGTTACAAACTGCAAAAATTTTATTGGGTCAACTGTACACATCTCTTATAAGTTCTTAATGACGAAAAACTTACCCTAAGATGACTTCCTTCTTCTAACAGTTATTATGAAAATCTACACTTTCACTGTATGATTGAAGAATAGTTTCAATTTTCTAGCATAGTTAATAATGATCTGTAAATAAACCTGCCACAAATTCGATGTCTCTACGGTGCATCTCAGTAAGATTTCCTTTCAGCGGAACATATTCATTTTGCATACAGATGGCTGCATATCGTCAATTTTTTCCCTCGTTTATTAAAAAGTTCAGCACAGACAGAGTAACAGTTTACATTACGATATGCGACATTTACGACAATCTGTTAGGTGTTTCGAGTAAAGTCCTGAAACACTGCTTTTGGCTAGTTTGTCTGCTTTGCAATTGCCGAATATATCTCTCTGATCGGAAACCTAGATTAAAAATGTTCTGTGCGCGTTTAGAAATGTATAGCAGTTAAAAACCGTTCTAGATGTAAATTGGACTAAACTCAAGGACTTTGTATATGATCCAGACAAGCTATAGCTTCCCTAATGGTGTTCATTTCCGCCTAAAAAACTGTAATGATTTGGAAGTGTAAAGTAGGAAGATTTCTTCAATTTCTATGAAAAACACTCCATTGTTTATGATTCATCAGTAACAATTGTTAAACCTTTCCCCATAGAGGGACCTCCTGACAGCTATATATATAGAAATACGACATTTCTACATTTATTTGGATGTCTGATGTCTCATTCATTACATTACAAGCGCAACATACTCTTTCTTTACTATGGATGTGAAAGGTTTGAATATTTAATAATATTCAAACTCAATCACCTTTTAATAGCTTTTTCTATGTGATCCAAGTACGAAATAAAGGTCATTTAAGTGTAGATTTAATTAAACACTACTTTGTTTCAATTTGTTTCAAATTCACACTCAATTAAGCACTTTTGGTGACAATTCAAATGAACTTAGTTTCATTTATTTTCAATTCAATTTCATTTCTGTTTGAAATGGTATTTTAGTTTCTTATATCAATTATTTAGAAACTCATTTCCAAATTTGCTTCTACAACCACAATTGCCATTCTCAACTTTTCCTTTTGTGGCCAAGGTATTTGAAAATCAATTCAATTGAAATCCTTTAAATAAAAAGAAAGTAAGAAATAAGAAACATTATAGTTTTTAGTACAACGATTTAATCTGAAATTTAATTAAGATTCATCATTTCAATTGGAGTAAATATAGAGATGAATATTGGCTATAGTTAAAAGAAAGTTTATCAAAAAACTTTGTACTATATTATGCTTCATAGCAATCGTTCTGTAATGTGTATTTTAATATCAAAGAAATTCTGTAGATCACGATATCGAATCATTGACACAAAAATATATTGTGTTTCCTCAAACTATCTCAAACAGTTCGATACAACCCCAATGGGAGAATAATTATTTGCAAGAATACTTATGAAGGTACGTTCAAATTTACTCTATAACTTAACATTGATAACATTAAGTAAAACAAAGATTGACAGCATCAGCATCATCATTACCATCAGTACTTTCTTTAAAAACTTATTTATTATTTTAATCAATATTATTAGAGGAAACATCATTCGTTCTCTTGATGATGTGCGCTTCAATTTTAAACTGCTTTAATAAATAATTTCGTATTATTTTACATAAAAGTTAAGAACTTTATTGAAAGTTCACTTGCAAAACCTAAATTAATTAATTCTGAAGCTTTTATAAATACTGAACTTTACTAAACTAACGATTGAATAAACGATCTGTGGACAGCAGGTAGTACAACACCTTCGTGGAAGTCAAACGCAAATGCGTTGAAAAGGATTTATTAACACGTTAACTTTGCATGACGGTCGGACACTTCAAAGTTGGAACAAATGTTTTCGCTTTACGAAGTTCTGAAAATGCCATTTATTGATTTTATTTTCCTTGATATTTTTCAAGCTCTTTTTAGAATATGTATTTCAACCTTTTTTTGAATAGTTTACGCAATATTCTGAGTTTAAGTTTTTTTAAATCTGGGTCAACGATAATTTCATTAAAGATTTTATTGAAATTTTATTATAAACTTCAGTGACTCAGTTTATAATAATTTCAGCTTTCTCAAAATAAAGTAATTTACAGAGAAATAGGAATAATAATATGTCTTAATAAATAGATTACAAATGAAGTCTCGCTACTACAAAATATTTTTTATACTCCAATCGAACCTCTACGAATAAAAGACACTGAGCTCTTTCATTGAAGATAAAAATGTTGAGGTGAAAACAGATAATAGTTAGACCACACCTACTATACTAGATTTTTTTGTATCGAATATTACAAATAGAAGACACCCAATCCTTTAAATGCAAGCCAGAGTTTTGAGGAGGAATGCAGAAAAAAAGGAGATTCATGCTGTTACTATAGTAGAGGCAACGACCATAGCAAAGATTTTGTGCTACAACTTAACCTAACAGTACAGAAAGCATCCAGTTTTCAGTATGAATATCAGAATACTTGAATTTTATTCAATGTGTTAAGATTTTTCTAACAGAAACGAGGGAATTCTCTTCCCCAAACTCAAATCGGATTAAATTATTCAAAAAGAATTTAATTTGGATTCTCAGTACCCTTTACGCAAAGATGGTATTTAGTCCCCTCAGAGGAAAACATCTTTCTGGAGACAGTAATACCAACAAGAAAGCCCAATAAGATAACGCGCTAGCAGCTTTAGAGTACGGCTTAACAGATTAACTTTATCATAATAAGATACTAATTTCTTGCTTGACCTTGTTAATGTGATAGACGTACATAGGTATGTATAAATATCAAAAGATTAATAGAAAATGTTTAACATATATATTATTTTATGACTAAAAGATTTGGTATATAGTATTTTCACAGGCTAATTGGTCAATTTTTAATTATTCTTTAAATAATTTTTTTTTTGTATATTTTTTTTTTAATTTTTATTTTTTAACAATAATAAAAAATTGACCAACTACTTTCAAAAATCGCTATATTGATAACGTTTTCAATAATATAAAAGTACAGAAAATAAAAAATTAAAATACTAGACTACAATAAGTGTTGTAAAGATTAGTAACATTCTATATATATTTGACAATACAGAAGATCTAAAGAAATTATTCTATAATAAGTGTCAAAGAAACTTTACTTACCTACTTACTGTTGTTCTCTTCTCCGCGTGGAGCATAGAGCCTCCAAAGAAACTTTAGAAGACTTGAACTAGAATTTTAGAAATATATATGTGGTTTTATATTATAAACATTATAAAAGAGAAAAGGTCAAATGTGTTTTAAAAACTTTATGCGAAACCATCAAAGGGCAGTGTAGCTGAATACACCAGCTATAGATATAACAATTTTTGAATTGGAAAGGCAGATACTGCTGTCAAGATAAGGAGATAATGTAAAGTATCCTTTTATATTATGATTTCGATAATTAGAAATTAAATATCGGAAACCAACAAGTGAAAAATAAAGGAGTATGACATAAGGAAATGGTAACTGCAAAATTACAATAAAATCGCAAACCAATAAAATTACCCAGAAACGGAAAATATATATTTATGGTTACTGTTTACACAGGTCTTTCAGACATATTTCTAATTGCAATCAGCTTAAATCAAATTTAGTTCCTTCCATCTGTTATAAAAATGAAATCTTTCTAATGGAATTTATAATATCAAATTTTAACCTCAAGTAGATATATCTTAGCATATTTACATTTCATTGATTTATGTGTTATTTGAAGCATAAAATTTTTTTCATATTTTCTCTAAAAAATTTAATAAATAATGTTAAAAATTTTTGTTACCATTTTTAATTGAATAAATCATATAAACTTCGTCCTTTCCATCTTCCTAGTTTTCTTAAGTAATTTCCGGTAACCGTTACTGTAATGTTATGCCATTAAAGTTGTTTTCCACTTAATTTTATATTCTGCGTGAAAATGTGTTTTTTAGATAAACGTTCGTTGCAGTAGAAGTACAAGCGCCGTAAGCGAGGATGCAGTTAAAATGGCCATTACCAGTAAATGCTCTATCTCAGATCTGCTAGAGAATTTAATATCTTAACACAAGTCTGTTGCTAGAAGTGCTGCATTTAATATTTTCCCTAAGAGTACCTGTACATAACAATATTACAATTTGTTTTGCTCTTTAACGTTTCAATTTAGTTTTATTTATTTCAATTTTAAAGAGTTATGACTTTTATATAAGTATTAAAAATATTTTGTGTGAAATTTATCATAAAAATATATTAAATGAATCTCTCTTATAGATTTCCCGTAAAGATATCAGTCTTGTAGTAGGTTTACTAACAGGTCATTGTATTATAGGTAATCATGCTAGGAGACTCAATCTCCCTTTCAACTATATTTGCCGCAGTTCTGGTAAGAATGTCCGGCACATGCACGTTGTCGCCTTAAATTTTTGTGAGCTTCCTTTTTTGAGGATCTTGGTGAACTTCAAGACCTCCTTCTAAAGATCATTATAAGCTTCATCAAAGGTTCTAGGTGGTTTTAGCCCTTGGGTTTTCAGCAATACGGTAGCACAATGGACCTGTGGGCCTAAGTGGATCCCCCTGGGATCGCGGGTATCACCTAACCTCACCTATTAAATTAAAATAATACAAATATATTATATATACCTTTTCAATAATATTTATTATAATGGTTCTGCTTAGAAAAAATGTTTCTGATCTGAATTTAATTTTCATAATAATATTATAATAATATTATAATAATATTATAATAATATTGTATTATCGATAATACACATACACATACTGCTCAGTGTTTCTTTTAAGATTTTGATTAAATATTCTTTAGATTAACTGATATTATGTACTTAATAACTAGTTAAGCTATTTATTATCTAAACAATTAAGAACGAAGTTTCGATAAGTTTGTTACGTACCAAAACTAAATCGATTCTATATAAGATGTAATCTCATATATGAAATATATTAACTTAAGAATGATAGTTTAAAGTGCTGAATACAATTAGTCTCCATTACACGAGTATACCTTATAAACATGCTGTACGTCACTACGGTTCTATGTCTTTCGCTGCAACGTGTGGTAGAATGGAGCACAGCTTCACTGCAGTTTATTTTTAGCTACGAGTTTAGTAGCATTTAGTAGCCGTGATGATGCGAGATTATTACCAGTGTCACCACAATAGCTTTATAGTTACATTCGTAGACTTATGTGCCCATTTAAGCAATATATCATCTGCAAAGTGAATATGAACATAAAGAACAAAGCACTTACTCTGATGTCAGTTGTTAACAAGGGTATACTCATGATATTCTAGATCCTTACTGGCTCTAATAGTTGCAGCTTTGTGGAAGTACTATCAGCATATGAAATTATTAAACACTGTGTAAACGTGGTGATTGCTTAGTTTAATGGAAAACACTATTCAAGAGTTCGATTAAATTTAGGTGTCTTTTCAACGTTTTGTTTCTAGATCTTCGTTATCAAGTAACTGTTTGGTTAATGGTCTGGACAGAGAGATTAGATCGAGTATAAAAACATTTAATGTTCAATAGTTTATATAGCTACTATTAATATTATACTACTATAGCTACTTTATATTTACTAAAGATAATTGAAGACTGCTTTACCTAACAATAAAATGAAAAATACTTTCTTTATGAGAAATTTTCGATTTTGGATATTTGCTATCGAATAGATAAGTGATAACTGCTTTATATTTCTATTTATTAGCGATAAAGTTAACAAGGATTTCATCCACATCATAGTGGTTTTACTATTATATCTACTAGGCGTAACTTTTGTAGCACTTTATCATCTACAACCTGATATATGAAACATTTGATGATAATAGCAGACTTAGCCAGATTAAATGATGTGAAATAAGAGCTGCTTGTATGACAAATACTTTCCTCGTTAGTTCATCAGTACCATCCGTAGCTTAATCTAAATTAGTAGTAGTGTTAACATGTTTTATTATAAAAAAAATAAATAGTAAGGCTTCGAACAGTACTGAAAGCAACATCAAATATTTTTATGTATATAAAGTCAAATAATGAATAAATAAAAAATAAATAAAAATTTTGTTGTTGCAATTCAGTACTGTTCGAAATTTTTCTATTAAATACAATAATTTCTATTAAGTAAAATAGTTACTATCGTCATAACTGAACTTAAAATCACTTTTAATGTAAAATAAAATATATTTTATAGTACGTATTTAAAATTAGTGTTAACATTTCTTTTTAACAGTTTACTTATATGTTATATTGTATCATATATATATTATATATAACTTTTATGAGGATGTCAGGATAATTAAAATTTTTTACAAATGTAACGTCTATCTTGTCAAAAAATGACATTTTCATTAAAAATATTTTCCTTTAATATATAGAAGTGGCTTACAGAAGTGGATTTCAATTTGGTGAACACTTCAAGCAATTTCTGTACCGAACATTAATAATAAAATGCAAATTTTTGTGAAAATATTTATTAAAGCGTCAAAAAGATTTAGCTTTGACGATTGAATTCAATTTAGCAGCTTGAGTCCAAAACGTTTTTGAAAATACATCCAAATAATTTACAAAATTAACATTTAATATGAATAAAGGTGCATGAGGTGACAGTAACATTTAAGTAATAAAAAAATTTTTTTGTTGGTGTTATATATTGAAAATTACTTTGAGTAGAGTATTTAATTAATATCAATTTAAAGAATTACTGATTTTATGTATTTTGAAATATAAATTGAAAATCTATACCCGCCTTAGTACTTTAATACTAGTAATATAATAGCTTTAACAGTATACATGTAAACTTAAGAGTTTAATTAAAACGTTTTAAACTATGAATATTATAGTTGACCAGGGGGAATATCCCTTTCGAATTGTATCTTAATTTGTATTCAGTTAGAGACAATAAAGCTATTAAGAATACAATAAGAATACAATTAAGAGAGAATAAAGAATATACCAGGTACTCGAACGTTAAAAGAAGGAGCTCTGACAGGGTATTTTATTTTATTCCCAAGAATCTAAACATAGTCCAAAAGAAGTTGCAACTTTTATTGAGAAGCAGATTTTACCGCAAATTATATTCTTGAAGCAAAATACTGCTTTAATGCCTAAATAAAAGATATACCTAGGTGGACGTATGTGAGGCTTTTATGATATCACTGCACATTTTGTGATATCGCTGAATTGAAAATCCTCCAAATCTCGACTAGTTCAGGTTTCCGCGCCGTTTTAAATTTTGAACAGTCGAACTATAATCTCCAATTTTTAATTATTTTGTAGACTAGAAAAAGGGATCATAAATCGCCAATTGAAAATAAAAATTAAAAACAAAAATGGTTACTTGAATAATGCAAATTATATGTATGTTGAGTATATTAACAATAGAGTCCATGGTTTAAATTTGAGACTGATAATTCCTGATACTTACATAATTTAAAATTATTTACTGGAAATGAAACCAATAGATTTTCCCAAAGACCACTGGGGATAGATATTTGGCAGTATAACAGTCATATGATCACTTAAATTGAAATTAAAAATTTGTATTTGGAATTCTTTCATTAATTTCAAATAGAAATACATACTACTTTACTAGAATAGTATATTAAAGAATATATAATATATAGTATATACTATACTAGAATATTTTTTATTAATAATTAAAAACATACAATAATAAACCATATTTTATAGATTATTTACTTAAAGCTATCACCTAATGTCGTCAGTTTAAGCTAGCGATTGCCTACTCTAATTATACCTCTATAAAATGAATCTTATACTTCTATTTTATATTTCACTAAATAAAATATAGTGAACAACGTGAAAAATTACTACACGTTGTGTGTCAAAGTTTAAGCTTGTAGACTAGTGTATAATACTTAGCATCATACAAAAGTGTTTCAAGTTTGATTCGAGCCAATTTTGAATATTGTATGAAAGTTACTGAGAGCAAAAAGTATCTCTACTGTAATAAGTTGCTTTAGATATTAAGCAACAAGTGGCAAAACGTTGACTAAATGGATTGAAATTAACATCCAAAAGAGTTGCGTTGTACTCAGCAAGATTTTGTATATTAAATTCAAAACAAAAATGAAATAAGTTCGAAGAGATATTCTGTAAGCTGTAGACGATTGAAGAATACGCCGGTTTCAACTTTTATTCAATATTGATTTGAAGTTGAAAAACAAAATTATTGTTTGAGAGTAGACCAAGATTTATAAACAAAGTGAAAAAAAAAATATATTGACTTGAATTATTTTTTATTTTTCGATAGAAGTCTATGAAAAAGCTAATGTGAAGAGTTAATTCATTAGTTTTAATTTTGTTTTCAAAGTATTTACTTATTATATATATCATTTTTCATGAATATAAATCACAAAATATTGGTCTCGCCCGTGCGACTGCAAGATTAGGTTCTATACATAGAAAGAATATATAAATCATGCAACAAATAATGCCTCTACAAACAGAATAGAATTCAAATTTAACAAATAAAAACTAACAATTTAATTAATTAATTCAATTATTCTACAGCTGGTTTATGATTTCGTTCCAATATAAACACAGCAAGTGAATTTGTTATTAAAAACACAGCAAATTAACAAAACTCTAGAAAAATGTGCGAACATAGAAATCAAATACAGCTTTGGCTCAGTTGGTTAAGCAGCGCTGACTCTGAGCTTCAAATTTGGCAAGGCAAGAGTTCAATTCTTGGTACTTGTAATCTCAATAAATTATATACGAATGATAAAATAAAAGAATTACTTCTAAAACTACTGAAGATGGGTATTAGGCAATACTCGAAACAGCTGTATGGTCAGTCAAAAATTCAATTAATTAATATAAAATAAAAGAATTTTTGTTGTTGTGCTTTACTACTGTTCAGAAAAACCTCTTTATTTTATTTTTCTAAAATGTGTTTTTGTTATGACAAACAGAAGTGATTTTTTTTTGGCGTTGGTATAAACCAGTGGTTTCCAATCTTTTTTTTTTTTTGAACAGGAACCACTATGACATTTTTGTTTTTCGTAGGGACCACATAGCTTAAGAATAACAATGTATTGTATAAGTGCATAGGTGCATTATATAAGCTATCAAATAGGTATATATTTACTTGGAAATTTCTTGTGCTTATTTCCTAATAAGTGGGGTCTCACTGGAAAAACTACAAGTTATGTATCTATACCTGCCAAATGTGATTCACGGACTATTTCTAATCTTCTCGCGGACCACCGGTTGGAAACCACTGCTAAAAACTATTTATTCATCATCATACAATACAAGGGTTTGGTATAACCCATGGATGTCTAATAAAACCTACGGCATTCCATTTATTTACTTTACCAATATTTATTGTAAATAACAAAAAGTGAAAATGTGAAAAATATTTAATAAAGCGTTAAAAAGGCCTTAGCTCAGGTGATTTAACTGCTTCAGTAAACATTCGTAAAAATTTACCTAAAATCCATTTTGTTAATATTTGTGTTTGTTTAATGAAGGATTGTGTTTACACACAGCAAGTCTGATAAAGCGGAGGAAAAATTTAGCAGTAAAAAATTTCAGAAGGATATAAGAATATTAATGCCGAGAAAAAAAATGATTATTATTATTGCTATTTTACACTCATTAAATTATAAAAATAAAAATAAAATAAATTTTTCCATTAAAAATAAATCAACATTTGATATGTTTTTGATAGGATATTCTTTCTGTTAAAATTTTTAAATTTTAATTGAACAATAAAAGGTGTTATATATAGATTAATATACTAGGTAAGTATGGTAAATGATTAAGAGTTCATCATGTATAAAACATTGAGAATATTTTCTATATCTCAAAGCACCATATAATATTTTCATATAAAATTTAGTTACAACAATCAAACAATTTTCACATTAAAGCCAAATTTGTAAAAAACAACATCACTAACTATAGTCAATTCATACCTACGGGACAGGTGGTTCTTGACTGACTACGATATGATATCAATACAGCATAAAGCAAAATTATAAAGTACTCTTAGAGAAGTATGCATATGAATTGAGTCAAAAAACTGCAACCTTATGCCCGATCGCCGTCCTTCTCCTACGGCACTTAAACTTTCTATAATATGTTATGGATTACCACTGAGTACCCATCAAAATCTTATTGACGTTATACTCGATTTTTGGGAGATATTTTAATGCTCATGATTCCTCACACAATATTTGAATTGAATTAAGAAAGATTTTTACATAGACAGTTTCAAATCAATTAAGTGGCAACAAAAGTATGCTATGAGATAAACTTCGTAGTACAAGTACCTCTGTGAGGCAACCGCATAGTAACGAATATTTAAGAAAGACGACCAACAGAATTGTTTGAACTTCAAACTAATACAAGATGCTAATGTGGGCTTAATCAGAGTAATCAAATAACCTTCTGTATAAAAATATATAGAATAGTGTCCAAACGTAGCTTGAAATTGTGTTTAAGAACTAATGCCATTAAGTAAAAAAGTTAAACTGTGGTTCGACGTTTTAAGCAATTTATCCTTGCCAATCCATCACTTACAACTGTGGTAGTCAGTAAAATAATTATTCTGTCAAAGCGTAGAGTGAAACTATATTCATGTCTGTACAATTTAAAAAAAAACACATGAAATTACTGTGTAGCATACACAGTCAAAATTATAGTACATGAAGTCATACGCTAAACTTAATTTAAATACGTAACAACTGGAAACAATTAAATGTGGCTTGTTATTTTCGCATAATAAATGCAAAGTTAAAAAAATAATATTAAATAATATCCTAAAACTTTAAACAAATATAATAAAATATGTCGTCACATCAAAACTTGACCTGACCCCGAATAAAATTTTATGCCTCACATTTTTATTCAAAAATAAATCATTAAAGTTTAGTCTCATAGTTCAACATTTATAATACGAGTATATTGTCATAAGCGGGTTTACTTAAATTATAAATGTCTGCAAAATTTATACCATTTGCTTCTAGGTGAGATTATTTCCAATCACATTGACAGCAGATCCAAATATTATATCGTATAAAGCAAAAACAATGTATGATCGCGTCTGTATTGAAACATGGACTTATTGTAAGTTCAGTTGAGAAAATAAAATAATAAAATACGAAAAATACAGACTTTAAGTTCTACGTAAGCAAACGAATGGGTCCATAACCGTCAGTTATGGTACGTTATGGTTAATCTATCATTTACAAATAAAAATCCTTGTAAGACTTTTTTCAGTATTTACCACATTTAAGGATGATCTGTTAGAAAAGTCTAGCGTACTTGTTGAAAAGCTGTGCGTTTTTGAAAAGTTTGGGAAACAAAACTAAACATACCAATATATCAACGAACTCGTCTCTTCTTACATATATATATATATACATATGAATATATATAAGTCTACACGTAAAATGTGTCCATCATACTGAAACTATTTATATTGCTTACTACAATCAAAAATAAAAATACGAAAAGACTTATCTAGTATTAACATTAACAATACAAAACACTATCGTGTAACAAATAGGGGCTACAGGTCAAAAAAAGTTTATATCAAATTATGTTTTGTTGTATATAAATTCTAATAAACTTTTGAGCAACTAGAGGCGACAAATTATACTTTTTCATAAATGATAAGTCCAAAGATCAAAAACAACTATTGTATAGCCATGTTAAACTACAGAGATGACGCTCTTAGCTGATTTAATAAAACTTTATGCTTTACCTTGTTTATTCTCCAAGTTCAATTATTTTAACAACTTTTCGTATAAATTTCCAAAAACTTCTCCAGTTGATTTTAATACAGTTTCTGAAATTGAACGAAATAGTACACGACTTATTCAAATGGAATCACTAAAAACATATGAAGTCTTGAAGTCCGTTCTTGTAGTTCTGGTAGTAATTTTGTTGTTTCATTGGATTTGGACGCGAAGAAAAATATATAAGTTTGGCCTGAAATTTCCAATAGAATTTGGTTTCCCAATAATTGGATCGTTACACAAACTAAGAAATGTAAACTGTAAGTGTTAACTATATTTATATATCTTTAATATAATACATTTCATCTACTTTATTAAAGATGTAATAAGCGGGTTTGGCGAAATCTTGAACGACTGCAAAAGTTATACCGTTTGCTTTTGGTTAGGATTATTTCCAACCGTATTGACCGCAGATCCAGATATTGCTTTAAGTGTTTTGAGCTCTCAAGAATTGCTTAACAAAGCAAAAACAATGTATTATCCAGCTTATTATACATTTAAAGGTGGTTTAATCGCAAGTCCAGGTAAAATATATATAAAAATATTCATATATTTATATTTTGATTTATCACATAACAAATATTTTACATAAGCAACTGAATGGGTCCATAACCGTAAGATGATTAATCCGTCGTTTACAAATAAAGTACTTGTAAGTTTCTTTCCTATATTTAATAAAGCTAAGGACGAATTGATAGAAAGGTGTAGTGCTCGCGTGGATAATAAGGAGCACAAGATTTTGAATACATTACAAACATTGACTTTAGGCATAACCGTAGGTAAAAAAGTGTTAACTGGTATAGATAAAGTTATAATAAAAGTGATCAAATAATTCATATATTATTAGAAACAACTATGGGTAAAGTGATGCACAGAGGTGACCAAGTATCGAAAGACTTAGCGACTATATTTTCTTCGTAAGCTCATTTATTTTATATATAAAAATAATGGTAAAGGTTTTATTTTATACATAAAAATAACGCTAAAGGTTTTATTTTATACATAAAAATAACGTTCAATCGAATTTATATGTTACAGACTTATGAAATTTATAACGGCTCATTCATTGGTGTGCTTTTTAAAACTCGGTTTAATATTGGAGTTCTATTCGAAATATAGAATATGCAGGGAACATGCTTATCAATTCGTAAATGAAGTTAGTATTTTTTTCTATTAATTTAAATACATGAAACGACTATCAAATATTTTAGTTAATTCAAGACAAGCTAAAAAGAGGTATAAATACAAGCAATAACAATTCAAATACGGAGACAAGTGATCTTAACAACATAGCCTCAAATTCGGCAATACCTTCAATACGGAAAGAACCAAAAATATTTATTGATCAAGCTATGAAATTATACCAAAATCAAAAGTTTACATGGAATGAAATAATTAGTGAATCCACTACAATTATCGCTGGTGTGAGTTCTCATATCACAAATTTGCTAAGAATATTTTATATCAAACTATTTTTAGGCATTTGAGACCACTGCTACTGCTGTTTACTCTACTCTTGTTATGTTGGCAATGCACCCAGAAATACAACAGCGATTATTTGAAGAAATATTAGATGTGTTCCCAGAGAAAGACTTTTATGTTGACTCCGATCAATTAAGTCAACTGCCATATTTGGACCTCGTAATAAATGAAACGCTTCGCTTAGCTCCTTCAGTTCCCGTTATAGGACGTCATGTTATGAAAGATACACAAATCGGTGAACATGTTTTTCCCAAAGATATTCAGATTATAATTTCAATATTTCATCTTCATCGGAGGACTGATATTTGGGGTCCAAATGCAGATAAATTTGATCCAGAACGTTTTTCAATAGAAAATTTTGAAGAAAAGCAGAAAAATGCTTATATTCCATTCTCAAAAGGGCTTAGGAATTGTATTGGTAAACTGTGATAAATCTAATATGAATATATGTTGATTGACTATATTTTGCTTACAGGATGGCGATATGCTTTATTTGCAATGAAAATCTTGTTATGTGGACTGATACGAAACTATAAATTTGAAACTGATTTTAAATTTGAGAACTTAAAATGTACCAGTCATATAACATTAAAATTCATATTGGAACCTGAATTAAGATTTAGTAGGAGATAGTGAAATATTATAAAGTAATTTGTATGTATATATAAAGTACAACTTGAACTGCAATAGAACAACATTCTGATAAATTAAAAGTTTTGATTCAATTAAGAAATTAAGCTAAATCATAACCGATTTTATCTATATTGTAATACTTTTTATGGTTTACCTTTCCTTTATTTACTCTTCTTGTATGTTATTATTAACTTCCGATATTTTAGTTCTTTCGTATTCAATCAAGCAAGTCTGCTTCTCTTTCTGTATTCGAAATTTAGAGAGAACACGGCATACATAATCTTAACTCCTATTGCAGTGTTCTGCTTAAATACCATACAGACCTTAAGATCTGTTCACATCGTTAAAAAATTATTTCATGCTCATGGAGTCATTTGTTCATTATGACTTCAACAGTAATTTTTTTAATTCCATCAATTCTCGTTCCAAAATGGAAAATTTCAATTCCATCAAAAATCTGATTTATTTAAATCGGACCTTATTTTGTCATTGTATATATTTTTTCATTTTTGAGCTAAGTGATCACTTTTGGAATTCTATATTTATGGATGTAAACACCCCATAAGTACACACACAACTACTTTTATACATAATTGCGGGCTCATATTTAAATAATGAAAGATAATAAATAATACAGTTATAATAATAATAAGAAATGAATATAAACAATTAAATGTCTATTATAAAGTCAAACAACACATAAAATTATAGTGAAATATATTGCGTTAAAGTTTATATTTAAATTGTCTATTTCAGTTTTAATTTATTTTAGTTTTTCATATACTTAAGACATTAATAGGTCCATTTCAAGTGCAATAAGCTTTCATTTCAAAATACAAAAATCTGATTTCATATTTAAATGTGAACTTGACTTGCAAAAGCTGGAATTTTTATTTCAAAGAAAAAAAAAATTAGTGGTTTGGATTCCCAAGGGTTTAGAATATATCTCCGAAAACTTAATATCAACGACTTGTGTGGTTGAAATTAGTATTGCGTTTTCAATTGTGCGAATAAGTACATAGATATTTCAATGGAGTTGCTAAATTATTCTATAGATTTTAAATCCTAGTTATAATTCTATTGTTTCGTTGGCTATGGACATGTAAAATGTTTTCATGCCTAAACTTTCCAGTACTGCACGGTTTCCCAATAATTGGCTCGTTATACAAAATACGATATGTGAGCAGTACGTGAAAACTATTCCTGAAATCAGAGTTAATTTTACAAATTACATGTGGTATACACCTACATCCATTTTATTTAGCTATATTAAATGGGTTTAGCAACATTTTTCGAAGATTATAAACATTACACTGTTTGCATGGGGGTGGGATTGTATCCGGTTATATTGAGAGCAGATCCAGAAATTATGTCAAATATTTTGCGTTCTCATAAATTGCTAAACAAATCGGTAATGTATAAAGATTAGCGTTTTTCCAGTGTTTAATAGAGCCAGGAATGTTTTAATAGAGAACTGCAGCGCTTTGGTCGATAATAAATATTATAAAATTTTAAATAAGTTGCAAGCATTGATTTTAGATATAACAGTAGGTATGAAAGTGCTTGTAATAAGTGTTATAACACAAATAATTCAGTTAGTTTTTTTCTTAGAAACGACTATGGGTAAGTTGATGATTAACGATGGTAAAAGGAAATAGACGATTTAGCAAATAAATTTTCCTTGTAAGTTTATCAAAGGAAATGACATTTGCACATAAATAAAATGAATTTGTTTATGCAGCGTATTGGTACTTATAGTGGCTCAGGTCTTTAAATCTCAGTTACATATTGAAACTTTATCCCAAGTTTAAAAGAGTAAAAGAATATATAAATTAGTTCGTTGATAAAGTCAGTACCTCATAACACCGCTTTTGAAAGTGTAAAATAATTTTGATTATTTTTTCAGTTCATAAAAGCTAAGATTATTAAAGGTACAAAAAATAGGAACAACAAAACCTTATATACAAAGACAAGCCCTTTTAATAATAAGAACTTTAGTACGCTACCTTCTCTACAAAAACAACGAAAAATAACTATTTCAAGCTATGAAATTATACCAAAATCAACAGTTTATATGGGATGATAAATTTGGTGAATTAAATACAATTGTCGCTACTGTCAGTATATACATTGTTCACTATATAAGTATATATATTGATAAAAATACTTAAAATTAGTTCATTATTAATTACAAGGTTATGAGACCACGGCAAGTAGCATTTACTCTACTCTTGTTATGTTGACTATGCATCCAGAAGTCCAAAATCAATAATATAACGAAATTTTGAAAGTATTTCCGAAGAAACACTTTATCATTGAATGCGATCTGTTAAGTCAATTGCCATATTTGGATTTTGTTATAAATGAAACGATTCGCCTAGCTCCCCCTGTTGAAGATACACAAATCATTCCAAAAATGTTCAAATATTAATTTCAATATATCATCTTCATCGGAGGACTGATATATGGGGTCCAAATGCGGATAAATTTGATCCAGAACGTTTTTCAATAGAAAATGTTGGAAAAAAGCAGAAAAATGCTTATATTCCATTCACGTAAGAAGCTAAACATTAACCATGAAAAAATGGAAAGTGAATATATATATTATATGGCTTGTCTTATTTACAAAATGGCGGTATACTCTATTTTCAATGCAAACCATGTGTTATGCGGACTTATACGAAACTACCCACTTGAAACTGACTTTAAATTTGAAAATCTAAGATGCACTAATAACATAACACTCAAATATAAAGTTGAACTCAAATTAAAATTTTATGAAAGATCATGAATAATAAAATTTCATAAAAAATTAAATAATTTTTGCTAAATAAACGTAAATAAACACTTTTATTATGATGACTAAATAAACAGTGCGTATGACGTATACAAAATCTCTTGCTGAAATTTAGTTTTGGTATGAGTCATTGGTATGTGACGGCTAGCATATTGTTTTAAAATTCAATTTATAAGAAAAGTATTTCGGATACTTAATTTATAAGGGTGGAAGATTTTTATAGAAAAGGTAGTTCATTTAGCGGAATGTGCTATGTAGGATAGAAGTTAGTCCAAACCTGAAAGACCTAGTCTTTTATTCCTACTAGATGCATACATTTACTCATGCCATGCCACTTCTAATTACTGGAAAAGGACCATGTTTGTGGAGTGTGCCCGGAGCAGATTGTGCCCCATATTCTTGATGACTGCCAAATGATCTCCCATTGCAAATCTTTAATCTTTTAATAATCATTTCGTGCTCATGTAGTTATTTGTTCATTATGACTTTCACTATAATATTCTAAGTCGATTAATAAATAAATTAATAAATCGGTTGGGTTAATATTCAGTTAAGACCATTCTCTGTTGACATTTCAATTAAATAATCGTATTTTTATTAATATTATTGATTCACAACTATTGATTATTATGACGAAATCATTTAATTGAAAGCAATAAGTACAATAAGTTAATTTCAATAACAAAACTTTGAGATATCTTCAGGACTAAGTCTATATTGTTTTTTACATCAGAGTTAATAAAAGAATCTTTTCTTTTATCAAAACAAAGTAATGCATGCAGTCAACATAATATATCAATATTTATTGCATAATTTGGAAACCAGCATCAAAAAATCTAATACTCTGGCTGGACAAATCCCAAAAATTGAAATGCCAACGGACAGGATGATTGTAAAGTATAACTTTACAAAAAACTTCAAAACTGAACTTGGCAACAAAAAGAATTGGAAAGGCTTGTCCAGAAACCAAATAATAAAAGAAAACATGATAATATGGTATACATACGGCTCCCTCATTGGTGAGGCTGGTGTTTATGGACCAGGCAAGATATAGTGAGAAGCACCAGGCAAGATATAGTGAGAAGATATAGTGTAACTATCTTTCAAGCGGGAATATACGCGATAGATAGACGCGCCAATTTCAACCTTGAACGTAACTACCGGAATCGTAAAATCGCAATACTGACTGACAAGCAGGCAGCTATAATGGCCCTCATATCCTACCAGGTTTCATCTAAACTGGTATGGGAGTGCATTGACAAGCTAATATGAATTTCGGGACATGCTGGTATCCAAGGCAATGAAATGGCAGACAAACTTACAAGAAGAAGCGCAACCTCAAGAATGATAGGCCTAGAACCATTCTGTGGTCTACATATTCTTCTGAATGATGCAGAGGAAAAAGAAAGAAAACTCTATTGGGAAAGGTTACCAGGACTCTCACAATCTAAAATCCTGTTAGGGACTTACAACATAAAACGCTTCAAAGATTGCATAGCACAATCAAAAAACAACCTAAGAATTATTACGGGATTATTGACCGGTCACAGTAGATTAAATAATCACCTATCGAAGTTAGGAATTCAATCCAACTCAGACTGCAGATACTGTAGAGAAGAGAGAGAAACTGCATACCTTATGCTTAGGGAATGTCCAGTATTGATGCAGAAGCGAAAGAAACACATAGGAGGGTATTTTATGGATCATAAAGAATCAAGGCTAGAAAAGGTAGGCTCTATACTGTCTTTCATTAAAGAAATCGGACTTAGAGAAACACTCTTATCTAAGTAAGGGACACAATAGATCTTTTAGGTCACAGAGCACAATCCCTTCTTTTTAATAATAATAATAGTAATAATAATAATAATAATAATAATAATAATAATAATAATAATAAATGCATTACGGTACGAACTGCTTCCTTAATCACCATACTCTCCAGACTTGGTCCCTAGTAAATATTAGCTGTGTGCAAATTGAAAATAAAGGCTCCAGGGAAAGAGATTTGCATCAAGTGATGATGGTGGAATAGGAAACTGAGTTACATATTGAATTAACTGATAAGTTATATCATTATAAAGGTGTCCAAATTTCGAAAGATCGTTAAGTGTCGAGCTAATTTTCAAAAAATTGCGTTTTCATTACTTAGCCGGGTATTTGATCCACTTCGTATAATATATGTACCACAATATAATATTTATATTGCTAACCACATTCTAAAATAAAAATTCATTTATACTCTTGTACATAGTATTAACACCGACAATACAACACGTTATTGTGCAACAAAAAGGGGCTACAGGTCAAAATAATTGTGTATTCAATTATGTTTTGTTGAATATAAATTTTAATAAACTTTTAAGCAACTGGAGACGACAAATTATATTTTTTCATATATAATAAATCCAAAGATCAAAAATGTATATTATATAGCCGTTTAAGACTTTTGCAAAATTTAAAAAAATGACCCGCTCAGCTGAGTAAATAAAATTATATGCTTAAGCTTGTTTATTCTCCTATTTTAAATATTTTAACAATTTTTCGTATAAATTTCAAAGAACTTCTCCAGTTAATTTTAATACAGTTTCTGAAATTGAACGAAATAGTGCGCGACTTATTCAAATGGAATCACTAAAAACATATGAAGTCTTGAAATCCGTTCTTGCAGTTCTCGTCGTGACTTTGTTGTTTCATTGGATTTGGACGCGAAGAAAAATATATAAGTTTGGCCTGAAATTTCCGATTGAATTTGGTTTCCCAATAATTGGGTCGTTACACAAAATAAGAACTGTAAACTGTAAGTGTTAATTATATTTATATATCTGTAATATATGTCATCTACTTTATTTAAGCTGCAGTAAGCGGGCTTGGACAAATTATGAAAGACTGCAAAAGTCATACCGTTTGCTGCTGGATAGGATTATTTCCAATAATACTGACAGCTGATCCAGATATTGCTTCAAGCATTTTGCGCTCTAAAGAACTGCTTAACAAAGCAAAAACAATGTATTATCCCTTTGATCTTACATTTAAAGGTGGATTAGTTGCAAGTCCAGGTAAAATACATACAAAAATAAATTATGTGTTCATATGAAGTTATATAAAAAATGTTTTACATAAGCAACTAAATGGGTCCATAATCGGAAGATGATTGATCCGTCGTTTACAAATAAGGTACTTGTAAGTTTCTTTCCAATATTTAATAAAGCTAAAGACGATCTGATAGAAAGGTACAACGTTCTCGTGGATAATAAGGAGCACAAGATTTTAAAGTCGTTACAAACCTTGACTTTAGGCATAACCGTAGGTAAAAAGTGTTAACTGGTTATAAAAAAGGTTAAGTTATAACAAAAAAGATCAAATAATTTATTTAGAAACAACTATGGGTAAGGTGATGTACAGAGGTGAACAAGTATCGAAAGGCTTAGCGCCTATATATTCTTTGTAAGGTCATTTTGTAAAGTTACGTTTATATATAAATAAATAACATTTCTGTCACAGTGTGATGGATATTATTTCTGCTGAAATATTGATATCTTCTTTGAAACTCGGTTTTATATTGGAGCTGTATCCTAAATTTAGAAAAGAGAGGGAACAAATATATCAGTTCGTAAATGAAGTAAGTATTTTTTACTTTTACTTGAACTACATAAAACAACTAACGAATATTTTAGTTAATTCAAGCTAAGCTAAAAAGAGGTATAAATACAAGCAATAACAACTCAAATACGGAGACAAGTGATCTTAACAACATAGTCTCAAATTCTGCAATACCTTCAATACGGAAAGAACCAAAAATATTTATTGATCAAGCTATAAAATTATACCAAAATCAACAATTTACATGGAATGACATAATTAGTGAATCCATTACAATTGTCTCAGCTGTGAGTTAACATGCCCAATTTGATAAGAAAATTGTATGTTAAACTATTTTTAGGCATTTGAGACCACTGCTACTGCTGTTTACACTACTCTAGTTATGTTGGCAATGCATCCAGAAATACAACAGCGATTATTTGAAGAAATATTAGATGTGTTCCCAGAGAAAGACTTTTATGTTGACTCCGATCAATTAAGTCAACTGCAATATTTGGACCTCGTAATAAATGAGTCGCTTCGCTTAGTTCCTTCAGTTCCCGTTATAGGACGTCAAGTCATGAAGAATACACAAATCGGTGAACATGTTTTTCCCAAAGATATTCAGATTATAATTTCAATATTTCATCTTCATCGGAGGACTGATATTTGGGGTCCAAATGCAGATAAATTTGATCCAGAACGTTTTTCAATAGAAAATTTTGAAGAAAAGCAGAAAAATGCTTATATTCCATTCTCAAAAGGGCTTAGGAATTGTATTGGTAAACTGTGATAAATCTAATATGAATATATGTTGATTGACTATATTTTGCTTACAGGATGGCGATATGCTTTATTTGCAATGAAAATCTTGTTATGTGGACTGATACGAAACTATAAATTTGAAACTGATTTTAAATTTGAGAACTTAAAATGTACCAGTCATATAACATTAAAATACGTGTTGGAACCTGAATTAAGATTAAGTAGGAGATAGTGAAATATTATAAAGTAATTTGTATGTATATATAAACTACAAGTTGAACTGCAATAGAACAACATTCTCATAAATTAAAAGCTTTGATTAAATTCAGATATTAAGTCAAATGATAACCGATTTTATCTATATTGTAATACTTTTTATGGTTTACCTTTCCTTTATTTACTCTTCTTGTATGTTATTATTAACTTCCGATATTTTAGTTCTTTCGTATTCAATCAAGCAAGTCTGCTTCTCTTTCTGTATTCGAAATTTAGAGAGAACACGGCATACATAATCTTAACTCCTATTGCAGTGTTCTGCTTAAATACCATACAGACCTTAAGATCTGTTCACATCGTTAAAAAATTATTTCATGCTCATGGAGTCATTTGTTCATTATGACTTCAACAGTAATTTTTTTAACTCCATCAATTCTCGTTCCAAAATGGAAAATTTCAATTCCATCAAAAATCTGATTTATTTAAATCGGACCTTATTTTGTCATTGTATATATTTTTTCATTTTTGAGCTAAGTGATCACTTTTGGAATTCTATATTTATGGATGTAAACACCCCATAAGTACACACACAACTACTTTTATACATAATTGCGGGCTCATATTTAAATAATGAAAGATAATAAATAATACAGTTATAATAATAATAAGAAATGAATATAAACAATTAAATGTCTATTATAAAGTCAAACAACACATAAAATTATAGTGAAATATATTGCGTTAAAGTTTATATTTAAATTGTCTATTTCAGTTTTAATTTATTTTAGTTTTTCATATACTTAAGACATTAATAGGTCCATTTCAAGTGCAATAAGCTTTCATTTCAAAATACAAAAATCTGATTTCATATTTAAATGTGAACTTGACTTGCAAAAGCTGGAATTTTTATTTCAAAGAAAAAAAAAATTAGTGGTTTGGATTCCCAAGGGTTTAGAATATATCTCCGAAAACTTAATATCAACGACTTGTGTGGTTGAAATTAGTATTGCGTTTTCAATTGTGCGAATAAGTACATAGATATTTCAATGGAGTTGCTAAATTATTCTATAGATTTTAAATCCTAGTTATAATTCTATTGTTTCGTTGGCTATGGACATGTAAAATGTTTTCATGCCTAAACTTTCCAGTACTGCACGGTTTCCCAATAATTGGCTCGTTATACAAAATACGATATGTGAGCAGTACGTGAAAACTATTCCTGAAATCAGAGTTAATTTTACAAATTACATATGGTATACACCTACATCCATTTTATTTAGCTATATTAAATGGGTTTAGCAACATTTTTCGAAGATTATAAACATTACACTGTTTGCATGGGGGTGGGATTGTATCCGGTTATATTGAGAGCAGATCCAGAAATTATGTCAAATATTTTGCGTTCTCATAAATTGCTAAACAAATCGGTAATGTATAAAGATTAGCGTTTTTCCAGTGTTTAATAGAGCCAGGAATGTTTTAATAGAGAACTGCAGCGCTTTGGTCGATAATAAATATTATAAAATTTTAAATAAGTTGCAAGCATTGACTTTAGATATAACAGTAGGTATGAAAGTGCTTGTAATAAGTGTTATAACACAAATAATTCAGTTAGTTTTTTTCTTAGAAACGACTATGGGTAAGTTGATGATTAACGATGGTAAAAGGAAATAGACGATTTAGCAAATAAATTTTCCTTGTAAGTTTATCAAAGGAAATGACATTTGCACATAAATAAAATGAATTTGTTTATGCAGCGTATTGGTACTTATAGTGGCTCAGGTCTTTAAATCTCAGTTACATATTGAAACTTTATCCCAAGTTTAAAAGAGTAAAAGAATATATAAATTAGTTCGTTGATAAAGTCAGTACCTCATAACACCGCTTTTGAAAGTGTAAAATAATTTTGATTATTTTTTCAGTTCATAAAAGCTAAGATTATTAAAGGTACAAAAAATAGGAACAACAAAACCTTATATACAAAGACAAGCCCTTTTAATAATAAGAACTTTAGTACGCTACCTTCTCTACAAAAAGAACGAAAAATAACTATTTCAAGCTATGAAATTATACCAAAATCAACAGTTTATATGGGATGATAAATTTGGTGAATTAAATACAATTGTCGCTACTGTCAGTATATACATTGTTCACTATATAAGTATATATATTGATAAAAATACTTAAAATTAGTTCATTATTAATTACAAGGTTATGAGACCACGGCAAGTAGCATTTACTCTACTCTTGTTATGTTGACTATGCATCCAGAAGTCCAAAATCAATAATATAACGAAATTTTGAAAGTATTTCCGAAGAAACACTTTATCATTGAATGCGATCTGTTAAGTCAATTGCCATATTTGGATTTTGTTATAAATGAAACGATTCGCCTAGCTCCCCCTGTTGAAGATACACAAATCATTCCAAAAATGTTCAAATATTAATTTCAATATATCATCTTCATCGGAGGACTGATATATGGGGTCCAAATGCGGATAAATTTGATCCAGAACGTTTTTCAATAGAAAATGTTGGAAAAAAGCAGAAAAATGCTTATATTCCATTCACGTAAGAAGCTAAACATTAACCATGAAAAAATGGAAAGTGAATATATATATTATATGGCTTGTCTTATTTACAAAATGGCGGTATACTCTATTTTCAATGCAAACCATGTGTTATGCGGACTTATACGAAACTACCCACTTGAAACTGACTTTAAATTTGAAAATCTAAGATGCACTAATAACATAACACTCAAATATAAAGTTGAACTCAAATTAAAATTTTATGAAAGATCATGAATAATAAAATTTCATAAAAAATTAAATAATTTTTGCTAAATAAACGTAAATAAACACTTTTATTATGATGACTAAATAAACAGTGCGTATGACGTATACAAAATCTCTTGCTGAAATTTAGTTTTGGTATGAGTCATTGGTATGTGACGGCTAGCATATTGTTTTAAAATTCAATTTATAAGAAAAGTATTTCGGATACTTAATTTATAAGGGTGGAAGATTTTTATAGAAAAGGTAGTTCATTTAGCGGAATGTGCTATGTAGGATAGAAGTTAGTCCAAACCTGAAAGACCTAGTCTTTTATTCCTACTAGATGCATACATTTACTCATGCCATGCCACTTCTAATTACTGGAAAAGGACCATGTTTGTGGAGTGTGCCCGGAGCAGATTGTGCCCCATATTCTTGATGACTGCCAAATGATCTCCCATTGCAAATCTTTAATCTTTTAATAATCATTTCGTGCTCATGTAGTTATTTGTTCATTATGACTTTCACTATAATATTCTAAGTCGATTAATAAATAAATTAATAAATCGGTTGGGTTAATATTCAGTTAAGACCATTCTCTGTTGACATTTCAATTAAATAATCGTATTTTTATTAATATTATTGATTCACAACTATTGATTATTATGACGAAATCATTTAATTGAAAGCAATAAGTACAATAAGTTAATTTCAATAACAAAACTTTGAGATATCGTCAGGACTAAGTCTATACTGTTTTTTACATCAGAGTTAATAAAAGAAAAGAGTCTTTTCTTTTATCAAAACAAAGTAATGCATGCAGTCAACATAATATATCAATATTTATTGCATAATTTGGAAACCAGCATTAAAAAATCTAATACTCTGGCTGGACAAATCCCATAAATTGAAATGCAAACGGACAGGATGATTGTAAAGTATAACTTTACAAAAAACTTCAAAACTGAACTTGGCAACAAAAAGAATTGGAAAGGCTTGTCCAGAAACCAAATAATAAAAGAAAACATGATAACATGGTATACATACGGCTCCCTCATTGGTGAGGCTGGTGTTTATGGACCAGGCAAGATATAGTGAGAAGCACCAGGCAAGATATAGTGAGAAGATATAGTGTAACTATCTTTCAAGCGGGAATATACGCGATAGATAGACGCGCCAATTTCAACCTTGAACGTAACTACCGGAATCGTAAAATCGCAATACTGACTGACAAGCAGGCAGCTATAATGGCCCTCATATCCTACCAGGTTTCATCTAAACTGGTATGGGAGTGCATTGACAAGCTAATATGAATTTCGGGACATGCTGGTATCCAAGGCAATGAAATGGCAGACAAACTTACAAGAAGAAGCGCAACCTCAAGAATGATAGGCCTAGAACCATTCTGTGGTCTACATATTCTTCTGAATGATGCAGAGGAAAAAGAAAGAAAACTCTATTGGGAAAGGTTACCAGGACTCTCACAATCTAAAATCCTGTTAGGGACTTACAACATAAAACGCTTCAAAGATTGCATAGCACAATCAAAAAACAACCTAAGAATTATTACGGGATTATTGACCGGTCACAGTAGATTAAATAATCACCTATCGAAGTTAGGAATTCAATCCAACTCAGACTGCAGATACTGTAGAGAAGAGAGAGAAACTGCATACCTTATGCTTAGGGAATGTCCAGTATTGATGCAGAAGCGAAAGAAACACATAGGAGGGTATTTTATGGATCATAAAGAATCAAGGCTAGAAAAGGTAGGCTCTATACTGTCTTTCATTAAAGAAATCGGACTTAGAGAAACACTCTTATCTAAGTAAGGGACACAATAGATCTTTTAGGTCACAGAGCACAATCCCTTCTTTTTAATAATAATAATAGTAATAATAATAATAATAATAATAATAATAATAATAATAATAATAAATGCATTACGGTACGAACTGCTTCCTTAATCACCATACTCTCCAGACTTGGTCCCTAGTAAATATTAGCTGTGTGCAAATTGAAAATAAAGGCTCCAGGGAAAGAGATTTGCATCAAGTGATGATGGTGGAATAGGAAACTGAGTTACATATTGAATTAACTGATAAGTTATATCATTATAAAGGTGTCCAAATTTCGAAAGATCGTTAAGTGTCGAGCTAATTTTCAAAAAATTGCGTTTTCATTACTTAGCCGGGTATTTGATCCACTTCGTATAATATATGTACCACAATATAATATTTATATTGCTAACCACATTCTAAAATAAAAATTCATTTATACTCTTGT